GGCGGAGTTGGCAATTATTTCGGCGGCAATTTCGGCGGTGAGTTCGGCGGCAAGTTCGGCGGCAACTTCGGCGGCAATTTCGGCGGCGATTTCGGCGGCAATTTCGGCGGCAATTTCGGCGGCGATTCTGGCGGCGATTTTGGCGGCCCTTTCGGCGGCCCTCCTGGCGGCCCTTTCAAGGACCATTTCGGCGGTTTTGCGTTTGACAACTGGTGGCGAAGGCTGCTGGGAGCTCGCAGCGTTCGGCCGTGGCAAAGGGGTCGATGTGCGGCGACGCAGGCTGACTTGACCTCTGCCCGACGATGATTGTAACGTTTATTCTCTTGTGGTTTTGGCGGTGGCGATGGCGACCGCCGCGGTTATGTTTGGTTCAGCATGGGTGCTCGTCAGGGGGCATTGCAGGCTGGCCTGCGCGCCCACCGCTGCATGCTTCCAACGCATAAAACATTGCCGCGTGACTCCTTCTGACTTCGGCGGCTATGTGGGGTGGGCATGGTGGCTCCAAAGGAAGGTCTTCGGTGAATTGCCTTATAGCGTCGGCAACTTCTGTCGTTCGGGCAACTGGAACGGGCAGCGCGCGGTCCCTGACGCATAAATGGCACCCGGGCGGCTGCCGTGGTCTGTCGTGGCTTCCCTGGGAGGCTAAGGGGGGGGGAACGCGAGGGAAAAGAACGCACAGATGCGAACGGGAAGGAAAACGAGGAGGGGGGGGGAGCAGGAGGATTAAAAGGAAGAGGCGACTGAGGATGCTGATGATGTTTCGGCGGATGAGCGAGAGCTAAGCAGTGGCCGGCGATGTGGCGAGAACGCGTGTCGTCTTCGTCGTGGTCGTCGTGGTCGCCGTGTTCGCCGTCGTCGTCGTGGTCGTCACCGTCGTCGTCGTCGTCGTCGTCGTCGCCGTCGTCGTGGTCGTCATCGTCGTCGTCGTCGTCGTCGTCGACGTCGCCGTAGTCGTCGTTGTCGTCGTCGCCCGCCGTTCCTGGCAATGCAGGCTGCGTTCTGGGCCTGGGGCCCAGGATCCGCCCTTGTGGGGGCGGGCTCATGGTGAAAGCCCATTTGTGGCGGCAACTTTTCGATGTTTGGCGAACCTGCTGAATGATTGGACGCGGGCGGGTTCAGGTTCACTGTGTAAGCTCATATACGGGGCGCACTTCCCGTTGCCCAGGGGCCCCACATCACGATCGGGCGGTGGCGGGTCTATTGTGTAAAAGCACACGCGGGGCGCACTCTGCGTAAAGTGGCGTTCCCTGGCGCGCCCGCTTTGCGTGGAGAATAGGGCGGGGGGCATCGACCGTGCAGTTGAATTGTCTGATGAAAAAGAAGAACATCTGTTTTTAATTGTTTAAGCAACGTGTCCCGCTTTACGTTTGATGCAGTGGAAAGCGCCCCGGGCGGTTCCCCCAGTATCCGCCCCGCGGTTCCCCGAGTCCCCTGGGAGCTTTATTAGCTTTAACTTTAGCTTTAGCTTATCTTTAGCTTAGCTTTAGCTTTAGCTTTAGCCTTAGCTTTAGCTTTAGCTTTAGCTTTAGCTTTAGCTTTCGCTTTAGCTTAGCTTTAGCTTAGCTTTAGCTTAGCTTTGGCTCAGCTTGAGCTTAGCTTGAGCTTAGCTTGAGCTTAGCTTGAGCTTAGCTTTAGCTTAACTTTAGCTTAGCTTTAGCTTAGCTTTAGCTTAGCTGTAGCTTAGCTTTAGCTTAGCTCTAGCTTAGCATCAGCTTGGCTTTAGCTTAGCTTTAGCTTAGCTTTAGCTTAGCTTTAGCTTAGCTTTAGCTCAGCTTGAGCTCAGCTTGAACTCAGCTTTACCTCCGCTTTAGCTTAGCTTTAGCTTAGCTTTAGCTTAGCTTAGCTTTAGCTTAGCTTTAGCTTAGCTTTAGCTTTAGCTTTAGCTTAGTTTAAGCTTAACTGTACTGTTACTACTAATGCTGTTTTCCTGGGGGCTCCAACTCCTAGGTACGGTCGCACTGGGATATTTTTTTGTTTTCTTTTTTCTCCCCCTTGTTGTTTTTGTTGCGTGCCGAACGCCGAACGACCAATTCGTCGAGTGGGCGCGCCGGGGTGCGCCACTTTACGTGAAGTGTGTTCTGTGTATGAATTTACACATTCAACCCGCGCCCGCCCGGTCGTTAACTGGGATTGCCGGGCAACCTAAACTGCGCCCCGTGTGTGAATTTTCATGTAGAACCCCCCCCCCGCTGGATCGTCAACGCGGTTCGTTGGACAACGCCTTGCAGGTCACGCTGGTCTCGTCAGTCCCACAGGTCCCCTCGCAGGTCGCGCAAGTGTCACAGGCCCCACAGGTCTCGTAGGTCCCACTATTCTCGCATGTCCCAGAGGTCCCACAGGTGCCACAGGTGCCAAATGTCGCGCGGGCCCCACGGGTGCCACAAGCCCTACAGGGCCCGCGGGTCTCTCGCAGGTCCTAACGCGGCTGACGTTTTGCACAGGTCCCACAGGTCTTACAGGCCCCACAGCTCCCACAAGTTTCGCAGGTCGCACAGGTCGCACAGGTCCTGCAAAGCCCACCGATCCAGCAAGTCGCCCAGGTCCCGCATGTCTCACAGGTCCCAAACATCGCACAAGCCCCACAGGGGCACAAGTCTCACGCGTCCCACAGGACCCACAGGGCGGCACGCTAAAAGACGAGAGGGAATCGCGCGGAAACCCAATACTTAGGCATGATTACCCGTCCCCGTGAAAAGAATGATAACAAAAGTGGCACTGGGGTGGAAGCCCACAAAATTCTGAATCAGACCAGGCGGGACCCGTCGCATCAAATGACATCCGCCTGTCAATGTTACATAAAAACGTTTCGTCTGCATTGCGCGTTGCATGTTAGCCATCCGGCTGGTGGGAACGAAACCGCAAGGCAGAACGTGGAACTGCCCACGCCAGCGGCCCTGTGAAGGAGCAGTTTGGAAGAGCACCCGGGCATCGAGTGTCGTCCGCCTCCCAATGTTGCCACTGGGCGCGCAAGCCACAATGTTTCATATCAATGACTTGGCCCATGGTGCACGCCTGCGCACGCTGCCAACGCTGCACAGTGAATCTAACTTAATTATTTCTCTATGGACGTTGCCGTCTGCAGATCATTCACGTTGATCGTTGTGTTGATGTTGTTTTATTCTCCTGGCTGTGTAATATATGATACTAGTTTTGACATCAACACTACTACCAATCATACGAATGCTTTTACTAATATTATCACTACTAATACTCATGCCATTAGAAATAACAGTATTAGTAATCATACGGATCATATTGACGTTGATCATCATACTCACTCTAGTAATCGCGATACTACTAGCCATAATAATAGTGCGAACACTAATAACAATAATGATCTTATGCGATATATTACCAATGATGCCAGTAATACCAATACTACTAATCAGAGTAATGCTATCAATAGTGATACGACGGACACGTATTAATGCTACCACTCATGCGATCAAAATCACGTCTCATCATGTGGATCGTAATATTGTATAAATGATACAACTAATATCAATAATACTGTTCGTACTATTAATAGGTTGATTGTGTTGCGGGGGTGGGGAAAAAGGAGGAGGAACATGATGCTGATGCTGATGATGGCGATGATGGCGATGATGATGATGATGATGATGATGATGATGATGATGGTGATGATGGTGGTGATACTGATTATGATGATGGTGATGCTGATGGCGATGGTGATGGTGGTGATGATGATGCTGATGATGATGACGATGATGAGGCTGATGGTGATGATGATGAGGTGGAGGAGGAACGGAACGGAACGGAACGGTTGTTCACGAATGAGACGTCAAGCCTCTACTGCCGAGCGGGTGCTGCACCCATTCGGGCTCAACAGCTGACATGAGGAGGAGGAGGAGGAGGAGGAGGAGGAGGAGGAGGAGAAAGAGGGGGAGGAGGAGGACGAGGACGAAGACGATAGGAGGATTAGGGGGAAGAACATGATGATGATGATGATGATGATGATGATGATGATGATGATGATGATGATGATGATGATGATGATGATGATGATGATGATGATGAGGAGGAGGAGGAGAGGAGGAGGAGGAGAAAAAAGAGGAGAACGAGGACGAGGAGGAGGAGGAGGAGGAAGAGGAGGGGGAGGAGGAGGAGGAGGAGGAGGAGGAGGAGGAGGAGGAGGAGGAGGAGGAGGAGGAGGAGGAGGAAGAGAAATAATAATAATAAGAAGAAGACGAATAATGAGAAGAATAATAGTAATAAGAAGAACAAGACAGTTAATAATATTATTAATAATAGTAATAGTAATAATAAGAAGAGTAATAGTAATACTAAGAAGAATAACAGTACTAATACTAAGAAGAAAAAAGATAACACGACGAATAATAATAATAGGAATAATAATACGAATAATAATAGTAAGAATAAGAGTACTACTAAGACGACTACGAATCATAATAATCATACTGCTAATAATAATAGTAATACTAATAATCATAATGAGACTAAGAATAATACTAGTAAGACTAATCGTAATAATAGTAAGACGAATAATGATGCTAATACTAATGCGAAGAATAACAAGAGTACTATTACTAAGAATAATAATACTACTAATAAGAAGAAAACGAATAATAATAAGAATAGTAATAATACTGAAATAAAATTAATAATAGTAATGATGCTAATAATAATAATTAGCATACTAATAATAATAGTAATAGTAATAATAATAATACTAATAATAATAGTATTATGAATAATATTATTAATAATAATATTAATACTATTATTAATAATGCTAATAATAATGATACTTATAATGCTCATAATACTAATGATAATACTAATAATAATAAAATTAAGAATAATAATAAGAAGAGGAGGAGGGGGAGGAGGAGGAGGAGGAGGAGGAGGAGCAGGGGAAGGAGGAGGATTGGGGGCAGGGGAGTGGAAGGGCAGACATGTGAGGCTGGAAGGGGGTAAGGGAAGGGAAGTGGCACTTTCACAGCGGGCCTGGCTGCCGACCAGGGGCTCGAGGGGGAGGGCGCTCCCCCCCCCCCAACCTCGGTTCCGCCCATGGCGGAGGCGACGGCTTTCGCGTTTCTCTTCCCCCCCTGCTGCTAGTGCCGCGGGCTCCTCGTGTACTCGAGTCGCCGTCGAGGTTTTCCGTGCTCTCTTCAGGGGCGACGTATGGGGGGATAGGCTCAGGAGGGGATGCCTAGACCCCCAGTCTCTCTCTGATGGTCTCCCCCTAACTTTGCCCCTCAGTTTGATAATTTTCATTGCGTCCTGCACCTGGAGGGCGTTTTCGAGCCCTGGGACTGTGAGAGATCGATCCGGGGCGAAACGTTGGCCAGGGTGAGCCCCGGGAGGTGTCCAGGGCATGATTTTGATGGGATTTTCCCCAGGATCGGGGTGCAGGCAAGGGGGGTTGATTAGCCCTGACGGGGGCCACCCATGCTCATCCTCATCCTCATCCTCATCCTCATCCTCATCCTCATCCTCATCCTCATCCTCATCCTCATCCTCATCCTCATCCTCATCCTCATACTCAATCCTTCTCTTTGTAAGCAATTCCTCCCTGTCGCACCTCGAGGCGTGTTGGTCGGGCCTGCGGGGCGTTTCGCCTGAGGCCTCCTCACCATTCGGGTTCCTCAGGCTTAAGAATTCGCATGGTTTCACGGATGGAGGGCTAGTGGTTATCCAAATGTGGCTGGGCCGCGCACATTCGTTTCAACATCATGCAACAGTTTCCCGGATAGATGACGGGCCGTTTTCACAATGTGGTTCTCGCCGCGCACATTCGTTTTGAAAATTTACAAGAGTTTCCTCGATGGAGGGCGGTCCGTTTTCAAATTGTTGATTTTGCGTCAGCGCCGCACACATGCGTCTTCAACGTTTGCAAGAGTTTCACGGATGGAGGGCGTTTCCTTTTCAACATGTTGTTCTCACTTGGTTGACGTCCCAGAAGTGGTCTTTTGGCATGATATAGGGGTGTCATGGCGCAACAGTCAGGTTGATCCGCGGTGTTGAAGTCACAGGAACGGTGCTCTGGCACGACTCAGGATCGTCAGGACGCAGGAGTAGCCTTGATTTGCGGCATTGAAGTTCCAGGAGTGGTGTTTTGGTGCGGTTTGAGAGATTTTCAGACGGTTGTTTTTCAACTTGCCAGTTCCCGCAGTGAACATATATCCATGTAGGGACGTATCAAGAGGGATCTTGGCGGGAGGGTTGATTCTAACATCGTTGATGAGTCTTGCGTTTGCACTTGTCCTCATCCTCATCCTCACCTTCATCCTCATTCTTACCCTCATCCTCATCCTCATCCTCATCCTCATGCTCATGCTCATCCTCATCCTCATCCTCATCCTCATCCTCATCCTCATCCTCATGCTCATGCTCATCCTCATCCTCATGCTCATCCTCATCCTCATCCTCATCCTCGCCCGCCTCCTCCTCCTCATCCTCCTCGATCCCCTCCTGATCCCCTCCAGCTGACTCGGGTCTAGGACCCCTGCGACGCCTTCCTCCGTCGGCCTGGGCCCTGGAGCCTCTGCGCGCGACGCGGCCCCCGCGGCTGTCAGTCATTGTTTTTTTTGCTCCTTGTCTCTCCGAAAGCTCTGGCCCACCACGCTTCGGCGCGACCACGCTAATCACGTCCCAGTCCCCAGGCATCGACGTCCAGAGCTTTCCCCAGCCTCCCGCCCCGCCGAGCGGAGCGACACGCTGTTTGCTTGCAGGTCATAGCGCGTCGCAGGGGCCGCCGCCGCGACGCGCGAAGCGAAAGCTTCCGTCCGTAGCCTGGGTCAGCGCTCGCCCGGGTCAGTCCGCTCCCGACCGACGAACTGATCGTGCAGTCCGGCGTGTTCGAACAGGCTGACACCTTCTCTGCGTCTTTACGATGACCACCCACGCCGCTCTTCATTCCACCGCTTGCCCGTGCAATTTCGGGCATGCCGAGTCCCATGGTCAATGGCTCCAGAGCGTTCTGGAGTGCTCCCAGAGCGTGGCGGAGCGCTCTGGCACCGCCGCGGCGCCCGGCACGTCTTCCAGAGCCGCCGCCTTTCGGAGACCACCGATGTCTCCCAGTCCGATTTTGTCCCGCTGGCGTCCCAGACATTGAGTTCGACTAAAGAACAAACGACATACCACCCCGCCTACGGCCCTCCATCTTGCGCTGTGCCCCATCGGGGGCCGCAGCGTGTACTGCGCAAAAACCCACGCCGGATTTCATGGCATGTGCTAAGGCCCGTGGGGCCGTAGGTGTGGTGGTGCCGTTTGTTTTTTGGTCCATGAGCTTTTCCATACGGGGTCGTCGGAAGTTCGACCCTTGCCCCAGGGTGGGTTTCTCTCTCCAGCAGTTGTTTGACGGTCCCAGGCTCGGCGAGGGCCCCGGGAGTCCGAACACGTTCCCCTTCATTTATGACGCGAGCGGGTCTGGTTTCGTCGTGCAGCATTTTCCGCTGGTGCCCCTCGGCTACTAGGAAACTCCTGGAGGCCTCGCGCGACGCGTGGTGATCCTGTAGGCCGAACGTCCGCACCGTCGGACATTGGACGACGTTCGCGCAGCGATGCTCCGACGGAAGTCCGACGTGAATCCAAGGTAGATCCGACGCAATCCGACGAAAACCCGATGTAATTCCACCGTGGATGCGAGGTAAAATTGAATCTCAAGTTGCTGCGCTGGGCCTCCAGCATTTTCTGCATCCTGGTACAGTTCTTCTGCAGGTGTCCCTCAAGCCTCAAGGCAGCCGTTCGTCGGCAGTTTTTTTTTTGTTTGTTTGTTTATTTATTTATTTAGTTATTTATTCCTATATAATTATATAATTATATAATTATATATATGTCCCGTTGAGCTGCCCCGCTGTCGCACATATATTGCAGGCCCCTTTCGATCTGGTCGGTCCGATTCAATACCATCGTCGGCCAATTCGATCCGATACGATTTCGATTTTTTAGAGATGAGATGCGGCCCGATGCTTGCACGGCGATGTTGCGCATCCTGGCGCCGCCGATCCTATCCGATCCTGGCGCAGCCGATCCGATTCCGTGCCGATGCAGCCCGATCCGATGCACGTGTCGATTCGATCCGATGTACCGATGCGATGCTGGCAGATCCTGCCCTTGGGCCGCGTACCGAAGGCCACTCTTGCCCAGGGTCTCTCGTGCGCGTGCTGCCGGGAGCCGGGCGCGAGGTATTCGGGGCGATTTTGTCGTAGACAGCACAGCCAGGACGCTGGATTATGAAACAGCTTGTGAGTTTCGAGTGTCGAGGGTCGATGCTAGGCTCTCCGGACGTCTCTGACCGTCCCACTGCCATCCGAGTAGGAGATTGGCTATGGATTTACCCCATTCTTGTTCCAATGATTCTTCGCTGCGCCTGAGAAGGTGGCGAACAGAGTGCTTCACAGATCCACGGAGCCTTCTGCGCATGCTTCGCAGACTCGTCGAGCGAGCCAGTTCTTGGGGTGGACGAATTCCGAGGTCGCTCTCCTCGAAGGGCCCGTGCTGGGCTCTCTGGACGTCTCCCGCCGTCCCGCCGCCGTCGCACGCGGACGGTCCCACCGCGCGCGGCGCCCCTCCCCTCTCACGCCGAGGCCGGGAACGGGAGCCGCCCTCCGACGCCGAAGGGCTCAGAAGTGGGCTGGCCGGCGCGGCAGGGCAAGGCCCCGGCTGCCCGCCCTGCGTGTCGTGTGTGTGTGTGTGTGTGTGTGTGTGTGTGTGTGTGTGTGTGTGTGTGTGGGGCGCGCGCGGCTCGCCACGAGGGGGGGGCGTCGGGGGCGGAAAAGAGGGTGGTGATGACTAGGGGGGGTGGATCTCATGGCGTGGGCCATGCTATTTCCCCAGATCTCATGGCGTCCCTTCTTGTTTCATTGCGTCCCTGGCCCCCCCGCTGGGCCGCGCACATGCCGCTGGTCATGATTTGCACCCCCCCCTCTTGGACACCCCCCTCTTGGCCGCTCCCGAAGGCGGGGAGCGGAAACTTTTTATCGGTGATCTTGTCTCTTCACTCCCTGCGGGGACCATTTGCTTTGGACGACGCTGTCCAGGCATTGGGAACGTTCTGAGAACTCCGCGCGCGGTCGTTGCTTCAGTGACTTAAGCTCTGGGGGCAGAGAGACAGGTTTTTCGCCGCTTCCTGGGGCCCTCCACGGGTCCCGAGGCTGTCAGAAAACAGCCAAGGAGGACGAGAAGGAGGAGGAGGAGGAGGAGGAGGAGGAGGAGGAGGAGGAGGAGGAGGAGGAGGGAGGAGGAGGAGGAGCAGGAGGGGGAAGAGGGGGAGGGGGAGGAGGAGGAGGAGGAGGAGGAGGAGGAGGAGGAGGAGGAGGAGGAGGGCCCGCTTCCCACAGAAACCGTGTCTTTCATGCTAAACAGCGGGGTTCAGGGAGTCCGCGGCGAACTCCGAACCTTGAACCTCGCCGATCAAGGATTCAGGCAGCTCGATGGGCGGCGGGGGATGAGTTCGGGTGTCGCCATCTAGCGAGCCCCTCGGCGGCATCAGGGGCCCCTCGGCGGCATCTGGGGCCTCTGCAGCCTCCCTCTCCTCGTGGTTCCTCGCCATTTTTTCCCGACGTCGCCCCCCAGAGGTTATGGGCCACTTCCAGGGGACCGAGCAGTGTTCTTTTGCGGTCGCGGGGCTTGGCCAGGGTCCCCTTCAAGGCGCACGTAGCGTGCTTCAGGGCAGACTCCACTCAGCCACAACGCCCGATCCTGCAGGATCCTTCAAAGCAGGAGTTTGGCTGAGCAGGTTTTCGGGAGCCGCTCGCGGCCCTGGAGGTGGCCTCGCATGTTGGCGGGGCCCGGCTAGGGACCCCCCCAAAAAACTTGCGTCACATTTGTCTTGATTGTCTGAGCTGGTTTGTGTTGCGCCGTGTTGGTCCACGCCCGAGTGTTGCTAGAAGTGTCCCTGGCCCAATGTGCTCCACGTTAGGATGCAACTCCTGGGAGGTGAAGTTCAGAATCGGCGCCAGTATGTCCCTGGTCGAAAGCTGGCGTAGTTTGGTTTAATCCCGCCTAATCTGGTTTGTCCCGCTGAAGCTGGCTCCGTTCCGCCGAATCCGGCTTACTCCCGGGCTCCATCCTGCCTCGTCAGGCTCAGCGGCCCCCGAATCGTGCTTCGCAGCTCGGCGTCGTTCTGACGAAGGCCTCTAGAGGGCCGTATGCGAACCCTACCCCTACCCCCCACGATTTCTGAGGGGGTGGGGGGTGGGGTTCGCTTCGCTGGGGAGCTGCCGAGCGAAGTGAACCCCATCCTCCCCCTCAGAAATCGTGGCGGGTAGGGGTAGGGTTCGCATGTGGCCCCCTAGCTGACGAAGACCTCCCAGGAGTTGCCCCCCTGACCCACGGTCTCCGGAGGAGCCCTCACGAGGCCCAGAAGGCCGTGCGGGCTCCAGAGCGGAGGGAGAAGCTCGAGGCACCTTCGGCCAGGGACGCCTCGAACAGCCCCTCCCCCGAGCGTCTTCGCCCGCTTCCTGGGGCCGAGCGGGTCGGAGGTCCCGACACGGTGCGGTGGCCGCGCCGTCGGGGGAGCCGACCTTGAGATCCGAGCGCGATCCCCTTTGGGGGGGGTCGCTCCCGTTGATCGGGAACGGGGGTCCCCCGGCCCTCGTGGCACGGTGGGGACGTGGCCTCGCTTAGGTCCCCGTCTTCGCATTATGGATAATACACCTGGGCAGTTTAGTCTGATACATTTGCAGGGCAACAAAAACCCTGTCCCCACTGGTTTTGGCCCTCCTTACTTAGGTCCCCTGCGCGCTGCAATTTTTTCGCACCCTCGCGTTTCCGCCCAGGCAGTCGGGCCCCGGGACCATCACACATCCATGTGGTTTGAGCAGAGCAGACAACAGAAGGTTGGGGTCTGCGGCTCCAGTTGTGGTTTGTCGGCGTTGCGTTTTTTTTTCGGTGGCCACGAGGTTCGGAGCCTCGGTCGCTCTCCGAGGACGTCTTGGGTGGGCGGGGCCTTCAGGGTCCCCAGACCGTGCGGTGACTGACCGTGCGGTGAGCGGGGTCTCGAGGTCACCGCGCAGTCTGTCACTGGACCGTGTCGGGACCCCAGAGGAGGAGAAGGAGCAGGAGGAGGAGGAGGGCCAGGCCCCCGCGGGGTCTCTGTAGTGGCGGGCACTTGCATCGTGTCTTGATGGACATTGTCGCTCAGGAGGAAGGGCGTCCCGCCAGTGTCAAGGAGTATGCGTCCGAGCTCCCTCTCCTTCTTGCTTCCGACCTGTTCTGCTCCATCGCAGAGTTATTCCGTGCTATCACGGGCTCCTTGACAGAATGGGACATCCACGAGTGGGGCGAGACCTTTCTTCTTCGTACCGCTGGATCCCTATCTTGATTTCTAGCAGGGGCACGATTGCTTGCCAGAAGGTTTGACTGCCGTCCCTGCTCATGGGTTGCGTCTGGGTTTGTAGGCATCTCACCTTCGTTTTCGTGCACGTGCACGATTTGTAGATCGGTTTCGCCGCTTCACCTTCCACATCCAGCCCCCCCCTCTGTCTGAATCTGGGGGGGCTGCGAACCTCATGGCTGAGGAGCCGAGGCGTGCCCAGCCGAGGAGGATGAGGAGGAGGAGGAGGCGGAGGAGGAGGCGGAGGAGGAGGAGGAGGAGGAGGAGGAGGAGGACCTTGACATCCTCGCGTCGTGGCAAAATTACGACCTTAGGTTTTCTGCTGTTTTCGGCCTCGTGGGGCCCTTACTTGGTGCTTTGCTCATCAAATAATAACTCTTCGATACTGTCGCACGCTACATGGCAAAATTTGATACTAATGCGAGGAGCGCCAGGTGGACCTTGTGGAGACCATCCCAGTGGTCGAGTTCAGGCATGGAGCCCGAGTCTCCCTGCAGTCTCTGCAGCAGTGCGCTGTACAAGTATAGTTGCTTAGGCCTTACCACGTGCAGCGGTAGGGACGATAGTTCTTTTGAATTCAAATGCTCACAAACCATACGCCGTTTGGCGCCTGGGCAGGACAACAAGCAAGCCATTGCTTGACAATGGGTGTGTTTTTATTCGGGTCGGAGCGCTGGCGATCCTTCAAAGGCGGTGCTCCGACCGCAGCGTTGCCCACATTCCTGTGGTCGAGAATGGCGCTCTCGCCCTAGCGCGGGCCACATTTTTGGATCCGATCTCTTCGTCGTCGTTCTGCCCCCCCCCCCACCCCACCCGTTCCCCTCCTCCATCTTCCCCTGTTCCTCGTGCTTCTCGAGCTCCTCGTGCACCTGCTTCTGTTGCTGCTCATCCTCCTGCTCATCGGGCACCTCCTGCTCATCCAGTAGACAATGATTTGCCATGTTTACGCATACATGAGGGGACTTTTTGTGGGATCAGGGTTCTCGAGGTCGGAGGGGTAGGATGCCAAATGTTGCGCGAGCGCGCCTAGCTTGTACTTTCCCCTTTCTCCTGTTTCCACCTCTCTCCTTCTCCTCCTCTTCCTCCTCCTCCTCCGCCTCCGCCTCCCGCGGGATCTGGGAACCGGGAACCGGGAACGGGGAACCAGGAACCAGGAACCAGGAAGCGGGAACCAGGAACCAGGGATGTGGAATTGGGAACCGGCAACCTGGAATGGGGAACGGGAAAGTGGGAGCCGGGAGCCGACACTGGGAGCTGGAAGCCGGGAGCCGGGAACGGGGCATTTGGGCACCAGGATCACCAGGAGCCGGGAGCCGGTCACCAGGAACCGGGAACCAGGAGCCTGGAACAGGGAGCTGGGAGCGCAGGACCTGGGACATGCGTTCGGGAATTGGGGAACCAGGAGAGAGGGAAAACGAAGGAGAGAGAAAGAGGGAGAGAGGGGGACAATGAGAGAGAGAAAGATAAACAAAATAAAGAGCTTCAGAGAGAGAGAGAGAGACCGAATATTTAGTCAGGGAGATGAATAGGTACACGCTATATATATATATATATATATACACACGTAGGTCTACACGTATGCGATTAGTCTAGATCTACCTCCCTTCGGGTGAGAAGGAGGTTCTGGGGGGAAAGAACCAACTGACGACAACTGCGATGGCTGCGATGATGACGATGCTGGTGGTGCGCCCTTGAGTTGGCGACGTCGCTTGGTGACGATGCTGGGTCGCGATGTGACCCCACTATCGATCCCACTCGATCGACCTCACCATCGATCGATCTCACGATCGATCTCACAATAAATGGCGTTGGGTACGATCGGGACGCCATCGGGACACCAGCTGTAATGATTGCTTGCTGAGTGTCGTAGGTAAAAGCTTAATGACGATGGCGCCACCGCCCACAAGTGAACTACGCGCCAGTACCCCGTCGGACTTGGTGAACGAATCGGTGCCAGCACGGCTCAGAACCCGACAGAGCCTGGCAAAGCCTGGGCCACCGAACCTGGCACAATGTGGGCTTCATCGTGCGCCCCCGCTGCTCCTCCGCGCTTGCTGCTGTTGGGGCGCGCACTTTTTGCGTTTACGACTCTTGCGCGGCCTGCCTGCGTGCCGGACACCCCGTGCCCGCGGACGACATGGGTTTTCGTGGTCGTTGGTGCTGACACTGACAACAGTTTAGCGTGTCGGGTTCTCTGCGGCCCCCCCCCCCAAGTCTCCCGATGGACATCGCCAGGACACCACCGAGACACCATCGAAACACCACCAGGACACCATCAGGACACCCATCGGGACACCAACCGGGCCAGCATCGGAGCACCCCTCTCATCATCGATCGCATGGCGCCGACGGGACACCGAAGGGGCACCGATGGGGCACCGACGGGGCACCGACGGGACACCGACGGGTATCACAGTCGATCCCGTGGCTGGTAGTGCTGACATTGAAAACAGTTCGGCGCAGCGGGTTCTCTGCGACCCTCCTCGCGACCCTCCCCCAAGCGTCCCTGTAGACACCACCAGGACGCAATCAAGACACCATCGGAAAACCGCAAGGTCACCATCAGGACAACCTTCGAGACACCAATCGGGACACCACCAGAACACCACTCTCACTATCGATCTCACTATCGGTCTCACTACCGATCTCATCATCGATCTCTCCAGGAGACACCACAGGACACCGACGGGACACCGACGGGACACCCGCGGGATACGGACGGGACACCGACGGGACACCGACGGGTCGCCGACGGGACACCAGTCGATCTCACTTTCGATCTCACTATCGATCTCACCCGATCTCATGGTCGATCTCACCACGGGACACCGACGGGACATCGACGGGACACCGACGGGACACCCACCGAACACCGACGGGACACCACGAGACACCGACGGGACACCAACGGAGCACCGACGGGACACCACGGCGGGACAACCTGGCCACCGCCCGCTCTTGCGACGGGACACCGACGGGAAAGCGACGGGACACCGGACACGGCGGGACACCCAGGCCACCGCCGGACCACTGGAGGGCTGGGGAGGACGGGTCAACGGCTCTGACCCGCCCTAGCCACAGCAGAGTCATTCCTCTCGCCCGCCCACGCAGCTTTGCCGCGCCCGCACGCACGACACAAACCCGAAGCCGAAACCGATTCACTTGTGGGGGACTTTCCGTTCCACTTCGATCTCGCTTCCACTGTCCGATGAATATATGCAGGTAAGTCGTTGCAGATATGGAGGGAGAGAGAGAGAGAGAGAGAGAAAGAGGGAGGGAAAGGTAGAGATTATGGCAGGGTTACACATGCACAATTTCATGTGCACCGTGCTATGGTCAGCAAACTAAATTGATATTCAGACGCAGATCACGTTGTATGCAGTACTTGTACACCTGCATAAGGATTTGTGTATATACATATGCTTGCACGAGTACTTATAGCACCGTACAGTTGTGGATGCACCACTCAAACGTAAGTGCGAACATATTATATTGTAGATAGATGTCTGCATATAGAGAAACCAGAGAGAGAGACCGATACACGTATATTATATTGATTTATATGCATTACAAGGGCGACGGTGCATGTATGTATGTACGTGTATGCATGCAGGTATGCATGTATGTTTGCATGCATGCATGCATGTATTTATGTATGTATGTTCGTATGCATGTATGTGTACGTATGTTTATATGTATATGTGCACACGTACAGATATGTTGTAGGTCTGCTCACAGAAGGTACATAATAGGAATAGCGGCCGACTTACGTAATGATATGTGTATGTAGATACAAGTATATATTATACAGATAGAGCATAGACACATGGAGAAACAGAGAGAGAGGGGGAGGGGGTGGAATAGAGAGAGAGAGAGAGAGGGTGAGAGAGGGAGCGTGGCTCGTACAGATACATGTATTGTGAACATGTACATTCTGTTCATGTGCAAGCGTATGTATGTATGTATGTACGCACGTATGCATGCATGCATGTATACAGGTGTGCATATGTATAAGTATGTATGTACGTATGCACGTATGCACGTATGTATGTATGTATGTCTGTATGTCTGTATGTCTGTATGTCTGTATGTCTGTATGTCTGTATGTCTGTATGTCTGTATGTCTGTATGTCTGTATGTCTGTATGTCTGTATGTCTGTATGTCTGTATGTCTGTATGTCTGTATGTCTGTATGTATGTATGTATGCATGCATGCATGCATGCATGCATGTATGTATGTATGAAGGTGAGGTTCAGGAAATGGCGATGAAGAGGGCGAGAAGGAGGAGGCTCAGTGGAAACGTGCCAGAACACGACTCAAAGGAAACGCACGTGTGCGTCGCAGTGGATACGCGCCGAAGCACGACCCAAAGGATTCGCACGTGTGCGTCCCAGTGGATACGCGCCGAAGGACGACCCAAAGGAAGCGCATGTATGCGTCCCAGTGGATACGCGCCGAAGCACGACCCAGAGGATTCGCACGTGTGCGTCCCAGTGGATACGTGCCGAAGCACCACCCAGAAGAATCGCACGTGTGCGTCCCAGTGGATGCGTGCCGAAACACGGCCCCTCTCTTCCTCCCTGCCTCTGCACGTTTTCACGACGGGAGGCTGTGAGGGACCTCCTTCTCCTCCTCCTCCTCCTCCTCCTCCTCCTCCTCCTTCTTTTCCTCCTCCCCCTGCTCCTCTTCCTTTTCCTCCTCCTCCTCTCCTCCTCCTCCTCCTTCTCCTCCTCCTCCTCCTTTTCCTCCTCCCCCTCCTCCTCTTCCTTTCCTCCTCCTCCTCCTCCTCCGCCTCCTCCTCCTCCTCCTCCTCCTCCTCCTCCTCCTCCTCCTCCTCCTCCTCCTCCTCCTCCTCCCTCCTCCCCCCCCCCGCGTCCTCCCTCTCGCCGGCCGGGCAGTCAGGCCCCCGAGGACCAGTCTCCCGCTGGCAGGCGGTTCAGTCATAAGAGTGAGGCCCGGCCTCCCGGCCCCGCCCTGCGCTTGGTGGGACCTCGTGGCGGGGGGCGGGGGGGGGAGGAGGGCGGAGAGGGGGGGGGGGGAGCGGAGGGGTTGGAAGGGGGCGAAGTGGCGGGAGGAGGGTTGGGAAGAGAAGGGGGGAGGAGCGGGAGGAGGCATGTGGGGTGGCAAGGGGAGGGGCAGGGGCAGGGCGAGGAGGCTGTAGGGTGTCAGAATGTGGGCGGAAGGGGAGGGGGAGGCTGGGAGAGGAAGGGGTGGAGGATGCGGTGGTGTTGAGTGGAGCTGGAAACAGGGGAAGGTCGGGGGAAGGGACAAGGGGGCGAGTGTGAGTTCTTCTGTCGTTTCGGGTGGGAGGGTTGGTGGGGCGAAGTGTGTGGAGAAGGTGGTGGGGTGTCCGGGGTTGGGATAGGGTTCGGTGGATGGGTGGGGTGTTCGTTGTGGGGTTGCGGTGATGTTGATGATGGTGCTGCTGCTGATGATGATGCTAATGATGATGATGGCGATGGTGGTGGTGATGATACTGATGATGATGTTGATGATGGTGATGATGATGCTGATGATGAGAATGATGATGGGGGGTGCTGCTGCTGATGATGACGATGACGATGCTGCTGTTGGTGATGCTGATTATGATGTTGGTGATGATGATGCTGATGCTGATGATGATGGTGATGGTGATGCTGCTGATGATGATGTTGATGATGATAGTGACGATGATGATGCTGATGATGGTGATGGTGATGGTGATGATGCTGACGATGATGGTGATGCTGATGTTGATGTTGATGATACTGTGATGGTGGTGATGATGATGATGCTGATGCTGATGATGATGATCATGGTGATGGTGACGATGATGCTGATAATGGTGGTGGTTCTGATGATGATGCTGATGATGATGATGATGTTGCTGTGGATGATGATGCTGATGATGGTGATGCTGATGCTTATGAAGATGTTGATGATGATGATGATGATGATGATGATGATGATGATGATGATGATGATGATGATGATGATGATGATGATGATATGGTTGTGATGATGATGGTGATGATGATGATGATGATGATGACACCGTTGGTTCTGATGATGTTTATGAAAAGGTTGTTGGTGGTGGTGGTGGTGATGGAAATGGTGATGGTGATGATGATGGCCGCGGTACTGCTGCTGCTGATGATGGAGGATACATACGGTAGGATGAGTGGAAGAGGCGGAGGGGCTTACGGACCGGGGAAGGTTCAGGACGAGGAAGAGGCGGATGACGGATAGCATGACATGGACCAGGAGACGGTTGATGATGATGATGGACGACGACGATGATGATTATGATGATTATGATGATGATGGTGCTGATCACACGGAGGATAATGGTGATGATGACGATGGTGCTGCTGCTGATGATGATGCTGATGCTGATGATGCTGATGATGCTGACGGTGGTGATGATGATGCTGGTGATGGTGATGATGATGATGATGATGGTGATGATGATGCTTATGAATATGCTGCTGATGATTCTGGTGATGATGATTCTGCTGCTGATGATGATGACGGCGGTGCTGCTGGTGATTCTGGTGATGATGTTGGTGGTGTTGATGATTATGATGATGATGATGATGATGACGTTGATGATGTTGATGATGACGATCATGCTACCGATGGTGATGATGATGATCATGATCATGATGCTGATGATGCTGCTGCTGATGATGATGATCTTGATGATGGTGGTGATGATGATGACGATGATGATGGGGGTTGCTGCTGCTAACGATGACGATGACGATGCTGCTGATGACGATGATGCTGATGCTGATGATCATGATGACGATGATGGCGATCATGTGATGATTCTGACGACGCGGGCGATGATGCTGCTGCTGATGACGTTGACGATGCCAGTGATGATGATAAAGCTGATGATGATGACGACGCTGTTGCTGATGATGATGATGATGACGATGCGGCTGATCATGGCGATGATGGCGATGATGATGATGCTGATGATGCTGATGCTGATGCTAATGCTGATGCTGATGATGATGATGCTGATGAGGATAATGATGCTGATGTTGACGCTGACGCTGATGATGATGATGCTGCTGCTGACGATGATGACGATGATGCTGATGATGATGATGAGGAGGAGGAGGATGAGGATGATGATGATGATGGTGGTGATGAGGATGACGATGATGCTGCTGCTGATGATGAGGATGCTGCTGATGCTGCTGCGGCTGCTGATCATGACGTTGTTGTTGATGATGATGATGATGCTGATGCTGATGCTGATGCTGCTGATGATGATGATGCTGCTGCTGCTGCTGATGATGATGATGATGATGATGATGATGATGATGATGATGATGATGATGATGATGATGGGGAGGGAGTATTCTAACGACATGGGATGGTGTTCTGCGCGTAGTTGAAGGAGCACATCAGCACGAGGAGTAACAGAAGGCCAACTACCCTCCACTGTTGGCACTCTCTTTCCCGTCCTCCGCCGCCCCCTGGTCGTCTAGATCTTCCCGCTCCTACTCCTGCTCATGCTGCCGCGGCTGTTCCTCCTCCCTCTCCTCGTCTCCGTTCCTCATCCTCCTGCGTATCCCCCTGCTCACCCTCCTGATCATCCACCACTTCCCCCTCACCTCCTTAAATGTACACAGCCTCTGCCCTGTTTGCTCATGACGCGACGGTGTCATTGTGGCGGATGCCAGATCCGCTATGACACCCATCAGCGGATAAAGACGAGTCAGCATAATAAAAAGGGCTGGTTTTGATGGGTAGGATGCCAGACATGGCGCACGCGCACCTAGCTTGCCCTCTCCCAGTTTCCTCTCGCTCGCCCTCTCCTCCTCTCTCCCCCTCCCCCTGTGTCCCCCCCCATCCCCTCTCCCTCCCCACCCCTTCCTCCCTCCCTGTAACGGTCTGCATTCAGAGAGGTCCGACATCACGATTGAGACGGTTCCGTGGAGCCTAGAATTTTCAGCACTGCAGTCAATGCAAGCACTCCATCTTGGGCTCAATTCTGTCTCCCCGTTCTGACTCCCTGATCGCTTGCCTGCCTCCCTCCCTCTCCTTCTTCAGCTCCTCCCCTTGCTCTTTTTCCTCTTCCTCCTCCTCCTCCCCTTTCTCCTATGTCTTTCCCTTACCATTTTTCTTCTTTGTACTCCTCCTCTCTCTCCCTCTCTCTCCCTCTCCCTTCGCTGCTCTCAAACTTCTTCCCTCCTTCCGCTCCTCCTCGTCCTCCTCGTCCACTTTCTTCGCTTCGCACCACTCCCTCCCTCTCCTCCTCCCTCGCTCCCTCCCTCCCCCCCCTCCCTTCCTCCCTCCCTGTCTGCCTCCCTCCCTCCCTTCCCTCCTCTCTCTCTTTATCTCTCTCTCTCTCTCTCCCCCTTCCCTCGCTTGCTCCTCCTCGTCCCTCCTGTTCCCCTCCTGCTCCCCTCCTCCCCGTCTTCGTCCTCGCCACCCTCCGCCCTCAAGCTTCTGCCCTAACGACGCGGGGCCGCCGCCTCCCGACTCACCTCCTCCTGCGCGCCGCGCCCTGCTCTACGACATGCCGTTCCTCCCCCTCCTGCTCGCCCCCCCTCCCCGCCCTCCTGGTCCCCTCCCCTCGTGGGGCACATTTTGACTTCTTGGACTCGGCTCGACTCGATTCGATCTCGATCGATCCCGGTTCCGATTCCGATTCGGTTCAGCTTCGGATTCCGATGTGGGTTTTGGTGTCTCAATGGAGGCCTCACCAGCCTGCCGATTGCCGCCGATTCGACTTCTCCCGACTTGGCTGCTGATTTCCGCCGATCCGATTGATTTCGATCGCCGGTCCGACTTATCGATTCGATTCTGGGCTCTCCTGCCACCTCCCGCGCCCACAGGCCCTGTCCCTGGCGGCCAGGACGTGCGCGGCGCCGAAGGACCACCCCGCAGAGCTGCAGCCAGGGACGCGGCGCCCTCAGAGGGGTCCTTCGTCGCCGACGACGATGTGACGGTTGACGCCCGAGGATCCGAGTCGATGGACAACGGACGATGCGGACGATGGACGATCGACGACGGACGAAGACGATGGATAGCGACTTCGGAGGAGGGGGAGGAGGATTAGGAGGAGGAGGAGGAGGAGGAGGAGGAGGAGGAGGAGGAGAGGAGGAGGAGGAGGGAGGAGAGAGGAGGAGGAGGAGGAGGAGGAGGAGGAGGAGGAGGAGGAGGAGGAGGAGGAGGAGAGGAGGAGCAGGTGGAGAGGAGGAGGAGGAGGAGGAGGGCATGTGCATCGCCAGAAAACGATCCCTCGGAGTTGCGCGCCAGCACAAGGCGTTCGGCTGCGTTGTGGCCTTCCGCGTTGGCTCTTCTCTTCCTTGCCCTTCCAGGTGCAACATTAGGCCTGGGGGGATAGGCTCATGGGGGGCGCCTCGACCCGGAATCGTCCACTCATCGACCTACCCCGCCTGGGAACATGGGGATTCGCAATCGGCGGCCTATCGCGCCTATCGCCGATCAATCGGCGATGTATCGTCGATTCTAGCGCGATGCATCCCCCTCCTGAGCCAGTCACCCCCCTGCGCCTAGCGTTCCCCCTCAGCTTTTCGGTCCCCAGAGGTCTTCGGAGAAACTCCCCCTGACCCTGATTCTTCGATTCCTCGATCACTCGATGTCCCTGTCGTCCAGCGGCTCGATTTTTTGTCCCATCCGTGCTGTCGTGCTGGGTCCCTGTTTTTGAGAGACGGCGCCCCGCGCCCCGCCTCCTGCCCTCCTCGCCTCTTCCCCCACCTCCTCCTATCATCACCATGATCACCACCACAATCGTCATCCGTAGCTACAGCCGGGGCCCTGAGGAAGGAACCCTTTTCGTTGGGGAGGGGCTCCGTGTTCCTTGATAGTTTCGCAGCTTGCCTCAGACTTTCCTTAGGTTTTCGATGTGAAATCGAAGTTTAACTCATGGAAAAATGGGGCCTCGTTCCTTATTTAGGGTTCCTTAGGTCAATTCCCCGACTGTAGCCATCTTGACTCAAGCTGGAAGCATCGCCCCGTGGCTTCCGCTGGATCGCAGCCACTGGGCTGGCTCGAGGCGCCAGGCTCCCAGGTTTCCATCCGCGACCCCTGCTGGAGCCTTGCCCGCCTGTCCAGGACGCGGCGGGCTTTGAGGCACCTCGCTCACCAGCGAAGATGCTTCTCGAACTTGGCAGCGAAGATGCTTCTCGAACTTGGCAGCAGAAGATGGTATACAGTAGCACAAGACAGCGACCAGTGGAACAATTTGGAGCAAGCATTCCTACGACACACACAGCATTGACCACAACTCTCACATCTGTATCTGAGGGCCCCGGCCCGCCCGCGCCGGCCTTCCAGGCCCCGCCCCCCGGCGGACTCAGGCGCGCCTCGCCTCGCCTCGCCTCGCTCACCATCAGCAGCTTTGAGACAACCAGGATGGCTGCCACGTTGGAGAGCATACAGGAGCTTGTGACATAGCAGGTGGTTGCTTCGAAGAGGGTCGCCGCCAACACCGCCGAGGCCATGGCGACGTTGACGACTTCTGGCCATGCGACCCCAGAGGCGACCCACAAGCTCGAATTGAAGATGTTTGCGGCGAAGGACGAGACTGACCAACGGTTCGATGCGCTCGAGACCCAGTTGCTCGCTTTTCAATCTTGCAGTCTTCCCGGCGAAGACGTCCACGGTGGCATGACGGACGGTAGTTCCAGTGGTGGCACGGACGATACTTCCAGCGGCAATGTGACCAACAATATCAAGTCTATCGAGAAGAGGCTCATAGAGTTGGCGTCGGCGCAAGTCTCTGCTGCAGCGGCAACTTCTACTGCAGCAGCCTCCCGCTCGGTGGCAAGTGAAGCTGCCCGCACATGTGCTCGAACCAACGGAGGTCTTTTTTATCAACATCGACGACGTGGACACCCCCCATCGCACCAAGATCTGGATCCGAGGCTTCCCGCGCAAGCTGCTCAAAACCAAGTTCGACCAGCAGGTCCAAAACATCAGAGCCGCTATGCCCGTGTCCTATCTTGACAGATGTGAGGCTTGGGCTCAGAACCTGCAGGCCGCATATGTGATCGAGATCGCGAAGAGCAGGAGGCCAATAACTTCTATGACCAGCCAGTTCCGTGCGCACCGTCCCCAGTGGCGCGATGTGCGCACCAATAGTCTCCACAATCTTCGGATTGGGCGCGACCTGCCTGTCTCTGTTCGCAGAAAAAGCTTCGCCATGAATACGTGCTGGACACCCAGCAGGTGTGGAAGCCAGAGGTGGAGATCGGTTGCTCCACACCAGGGCATCTTCTACATCATCTTCCAGGACGTGCCGTTCGATAGGGTCAACTGTGTAGGCTCCCTCTCAGGCGTGATCACCTTCGAGCCGCAGTTCGGCACGCTCGAGGAGCTCAGCATCCCGCAGGAGATCGCCGACAATCTTGCTGGCCAGATCCAAGCGCTGCTCGACCAGTCGTCGTGATGTTCTTCGTTGCATGATGCTCTCCCCTCCCTGCGCCCATCGAATTCACGCGCCAGGGCATTCTCGACGGGTGAAGCTGCGAGGGTCCTCAACCATGGTTATAGTGCGCAGGCTTGTCTCCCCATCTGATGCGGAGGCGTCTGCGTGTCAGTTGAACGCGTCGGAGGCTTTCGTCTTCTCCCTCGTCCTCCTCCTCGTCTTCCTCCTCTCCCTCTTCCCCTCCCTTGCCTGTCGAGCCCGGGTGCCAGAGGCTGCTTTTTGTTTTCGCGAGCGTGCAATCTAGTTTGTTGGACGTCAGGGGCGTTTGGGCTGTGGCTGGCGTCGCTTCTCGGCGCAGGCGAACTCGACAGATGGGTCCTCATCGAAACAGCGATGCAGTATTCTTGCAGGGAGCTCTCGGTGCTGGTGCAGACAAGTTCGAGTCTCGAGCGCGGCTGTTCCGATTTCCAGCACTTCGGTTCCTTCCTCCTTGCGCGCGCTCGTGGTGTGGTCATTCCTGTCCGCTCTTCGCTGGCCAGCCTTTTTCTTGCCCAGCCTCGCTATCTAGTCATCGACCGTTTCTGTGTTGCCGCTGACAGTCCACGGCGAGTCTAGCGCTATGCAGCTTGTCAATGTTCGCTCTGAGCCTCAGGGCCGCCATAATCTGAAATTGGAGCTTCTCCAAACAAATCGTCGGCACACCTGGGGGCTTAATTTTGCTTCGGTTTCTCTCGGGGGCGAATGGGGCTTCCTGGAGTTTGGCGAGCAGAGAGTACCCATGGTCTCGAACGAAGATGCACCGCGGGTGTCGGTGGCTTCCAGGCTAGGAGATTCATGTGGTCGACTGTGCTCCCAAATTCGCGGAAGTTGATCAGCGTGATTCTGCTCGTGGGTGCGAAGCCCGCGATGCTGTTCTTAGCGTTGGTCGTCTAGATAGGTTGCGCCCCAACGTGCCTCGTTCTGTGCTTCTGGATCCCCACCATCGGAGTTTTACAGTGGGTCTGGTGATGATCGTCGTGGACCGCCTGGTCATGGCTTCGTCGTCTCCCAGGTCCTCCGCGGCGACAGCCACTTGCGCAAGCCACCGGAGTGGGTGTTCCATCGCGGCGAATTTCAGGACGCATTGGCTGACCTCGCTCAGGAGGCTGGGCGGGCGGCGGGCGATTCTCGGGAGCGGGCCCTCGGAACCAGGCAGCGCATGTGCGCTGTGACATGCCGCCGAGGCAATCTCTCTTGTCGCGTCCCCGCGACTCGCCGCTGGAAGGTAGCGGTTTGCTCGAAGTTCACGAGAGACGCCCAGCAGCGCATTCTGTCACTCGTGCGCAGGTACCTATGCTGGTTGACGCTGCTGAATGCATATTTCGACGTCTCGGGCACGTGCGTCTCTGACTTCGCGGGGTTTCGCCATTGCCTTCAGGGCCCGTGCAGCGACGCTCTCTACGCGGAGATCAGCGGTTTCTGTGCCGACAATCTGAATGCCTCCCGCGCGGGCCTTTTTTCCGTTCGTCTTCGCGATCTCCTCGCGCTCTGGTCCCTTGGGTGCGCCGACTCGACCTCGCTCATTTTCCTGACCCAGACGGGCCCACGCGTGGTTCTCTGGCCCATAGCGTCGCTTTGGGGACAGTTTTGTTTCAGGCAAAGAGCGAGTCTGCTCCTGGCTTCGACGGCGCTGGGTACGCGTTGAGCGTGCTGCTGGCGACGAGCTCTGCCGCGACTGTCAGTTCGATCTCTACCCCTCCGGTTCGACTGCCACGATATGAAGGTCAGTTCCAAACGCGCGTTTGCGTTTTTTTTTTTTTTTTTTTTTTTTTTTTTTTTTTTTTTTTTTTTTTTTTTTTTTTTTTTTTTTTCTCCCCCCCCCGAAAAGAAGAGGTGGCGGAGGTGAGGATGGCGCTGTTGGGATCTTTCGTTCTGCTTGTGCTACTCGCCCGATTTTTGTCCAGTTGTGATGACCGGATTGTATTGCCGCTGGGGTGCCCCATCCTCTGTCCGTCCAAGTCAAGTTCCCTGTCTCGGCCATTCGGGCTTCTTAAACAAACCGGAGTATTTTCCATCACATGTTTGATATCGAAACCATGTTGTTCGACTCCTTTTCGTTCCAAGGTTTCCAGCGTTCCAGAATTTATCTGCTCGGTATAGCTGCTGCCTCCCCGTCATTGAACCACGCATTGATCGTAGATTGCATCGCGCGTCTAGGAGTGCTTCGCCTCCTCTTCTATGCCACCATTGAGCTGTAGTACATGGATGTGGTCACAAAGGTCGTTTTCCGTTGGCAGGTTTTCGGTGCTCTTGCTTTTCTCCGAGGGTTATATTATGGGTGTCCACTGAGTGGGGTGGTCTTCGCTCTTGAGAGAGCTTTGCGGCCGCATCCTGCTAGGCCTTCCGCATTTGCCCACGACGCGGGTATCGTCTCCGTTGATGTACTTGTGTCGATTATGATTGTGGCACGGATAATGACGAATGCCGCGAACATTTCGGTTCTTTGGGTGAGCCCGAAGAAGTGGGCCATTGGTCTACATGCTGGTCTTGATCGGGCCCGCGTCGGCGGCGTCCTTCTAGACGTTTGGTCTGACGCTTCCCTCTTCCAGTTGTATTCGAATTCTCGGTGCTTAGGTTTGTGTCTGTGTTAGTTGGGGTCGGCCTCAGGGGGTGGTCATGGTCAGGCTGTGCTACACTCGCGGGTTAGCCTTGGGGCTCGTTCAAAATATCATTGCTTTGAGTTTTTTGCGTTCCCGCTTCTTAGCGTTCCTGCCTAGTGTCTTCTTGTTCCGCATGCTGTGCTTCGTGTCGAGCGTAATGCCCGCCAGTTTTTGATTGCAGAACCTCGCTGGGCCATCCCAGCTCACGCCCTGGCCAACAGCGACCGCGTTGGCCTGCCCATCAAGCCGTGGTCGATCGAGGTGTAGAAATGGCTGCCATGCATCGCGTGTATATCCGCTCTGAAGCCTTCGCGGGCACACGTTCGCTGGCGCGAACACGGGGATGTTGAAGTTGATCGTTTGGTTCATCCCCCAACAGGCCGAGTGGGTTCAATAGGCCATCATTGGTTCCCTGTGCCCAGTGTTCGAAATATTCCAGGCAGCCCCCAGGGTCTGTGCCGACCCTGGCGCCATCCAGCTGCTGCAGGACGTCTCGGCGGCGCTGCATCAGCTAGTGAGCCCGAGTACCCCCGTGCCTGTAGCATTTCCCCCTAAGCTCCGCAAGGTTTGGATTCTAGTCCAAGAGCGGCATTCCGATTTAGCTTTCAAATATTTATGCGTTGCTGCATCTATCGGTTCTTTTGTGTGAGTGTGTAGCCTATACCTACATCCAATTTGCAATGGTTGGTGCACGTCAGCCCGATATGGCCTAGGTCGGTATGTCTGCAAATTCAAGTGCCTAGCGAGGGGTGGTGACCATGTCCTCTATTATTTGTTTTGTTCCGCATGTCTCGCATGTTTTCGTTCCCTTGTCCCTTCTCTTCCCGACGGCTATGCAGAGCGGTCGCCCGAAGATATCTTGATTGTAGGCACGCTCCCGCTCCCGAGGCCTCCCGAGTGATGTCCAGCTCGCGACTGCCCTTCGGGCGCAGGACCTCCCTGTTGCCACCTTGAATTGCTTGCGCGTCCATCAGAGATGGTGGAATGGGCAGCTTTTTGCTCTTCTCGCGGCTCGGGCTCGTGCCACCGGCGAGAAGTGGAAGAGCGTCCGTGCTATTATAATCAAGGCATGGCCACCGAGTGGCGGGTGGATTATCACCACCATCTCCAGCATCACCACAGTCACCACCACTACCACCACCACCACCACCACCACCATCATTATCATCACCATCATCATCATCATCATAACCATCATCATCGTCATCATCGTCATCATCATCATCGTCATCATCGTCATCATCATCATCATCATCATCATCATCATCATCATCATCATCATCATCATCATCATCATCATCATCATCATCATCATCATCATTATCGTCATCATCAGTATCATCATCATCGTCATCATCATCACCATCATCATTACCACCATCATCAGCATCACAATCGGCATCATCATCATCATCATCATCATCACCACCATCACCTTCCTGACCATCACCAACATCCATCACCACAACCACAACCAACACCATCGTCAACACCATCACCGTCATCATCACCACCATCATCGTCATCATCACCAGCATCACGAACATCGTCGCCATCATCATCGCCGTCATCATCAGCATCATCGCCATCAGTTTGAGCACACCCTCAAACGATTCGTGGCTCCATAGGGTGCTTCACCGAGGCACCCAGCTGCGCAGCCCCCACGCGTCCCTGTCACCCAATTTCGGCACGTCCATCACACTTTGCGTGGCCGGCCCACAGGGAGCTCCACCGAATGGTCCAATTGGTGCAGCCCGCATGCGCTCCCCTGCTTATTTCCACGCGCCCTCGCTCATGTCGTGGCCCCGTAGGGAGCTCCACCGAAGGCCCCAGCGGCGCGACCCGCATGCGCCCCCGCCGCCCACGTTGGCACACCCCTTACACGTTTCGTGGCCCCGTAGGGCGCTCGTCAGAAGGTCCCAGCGGTGCATCCCGCGCGCGTTTCCGCCACCCCCGTCGGCACACCCCTCGCACGCTTCCCTGGCCCAGAAGGAGCCCGCCGAGCGGTCCCACTGGCGCAGCCCGCAGGCGTCCCCGCCATCCGTTTCGGCAGGCATCCCCACGTTTCGTGGCCGCGCAGGGAGCTAGCTTCACGCAGGATCCCAGTGGCGCAGCCCGCGTGCGTCCCCGCCTTTTTCCGGCACGCCCCTCACGTGTTTCGTGGCCCCCATGGGAGCCCCACCAGAGGTCCCGGCGGTGTAGCCCGCATGCGTCCTCAACGCCCATGTCGGCATACCGTCGCACGTTTCGTGGCCTCATAAAGGCTTCCACCGAATATCCTAGTGGTGTAGCCCGCATGCGTTCCCGCCACCCCTGTAGGCACACCCCTCACACGTTTCGTGGCCCCATAGGGAGCATCGAAGGTCCCTATGGCGCAGCCCGCATGCGTCCCCGCCACCCATGTGGGCACACCCCTCACACAGTTCGTGGCCCCATAGGGATCGTTGCAGCGTTCGCATGGCGGCCCCGCCTCATGTCGGCACATCCTTCACCCGCTTCGTGGCCCCAGAAGGATATCCACCGAAGGCGACACTCACAACCACGGTATTGACAAGTGCATATGATTGGATCCTTCGCCAGGCTATTTGTCGCAGCGTGCCTTTCTAGAGGTCTGGGCCCCTTCCTGGGGATGGGTTTCACCTTGGGCTATTTTTGACACCCCCAGGGGCCCGGCAAGGGCCCCCAGAGGTCAGGAACTTCCCAGAACCTTGCCGTCGCGATCTTCCCACGACGCGAGGATGGCAAGAGATCCTGATCCCGCGATCCCTCGAAGCCCCAGATGCCCTCGAGGCCTCGAGGCCCCTATCGTTGCCCCTGAAAGGAGCAGTTTTCGGGTCGCAACCTCGGGTCTCTGGCGGCTGTTCGGGACGATCTGGGCAGCCCTGTGCACGCCCTCGGCGAGGCGCAGTTGCCGGACGGCGCTCCGCGTCTGGACAACCGCAAGGCCGAGGAGAGCGCCCGAAAACTCCAGAGGAATGGGGTACCACCCAGACTCGGAGTAGACCTCGCCATCGCTAGGGGGCTGCGATCTGCAGAGGCGCCGCCACTCTCGGGGGCTGTTGGGGGCCCAGTGAGTGACGCCCTGAACAGATTTAGGTTCGACCTCGCCATCCTTGGGGGGCTGCGATCTGCGAACTTGTCGCCGACCCCGCCTCCTCCGCTCGCCAGAGAGCGTCAGAGCTCGCACGCCCCCTGTGTCCTCCGCCTCCTCCGCCTCCTCCCTCCTTCCTCCTCCCTCCTCCTCCTCCTCCTCCTCCTCCTCCTCCTCCTCCTCCTCCTCCTCCTGGACGCATCGACCCCGAAGAGATGATCCGGCCCCGGTGCCGCCCGAGGCAGAAGCCGTGGAGCCCGACCTACGCGGAGCGCCCGCGCAGCGGCGGCGTGTCGAGGGGCGCCGTGCGGCCGCCGAGGACCCCCCTCGTCGCGGCGGGCAGAGCTCCTCACGGCCTCCTCGCCCTCTTCCCCCTGGGGCTCGTCCCCTGACTCCTCCCCCTCCTCCCCCTCCTCACTCCTCCCCCCCTGCTCCCCCCTTCTCCTCCCCGCCCTCCGCCCGCCCCTTCGCCCCCTCCCTATCCCTCCCACCCCCTCTCCCGCCCCCCGCCTCCCCGCCACGAGGTCTCACCAGGCGCTGGGGGGTGGGGGGGGGCGGGGGGCACGTGGCGGGCCTCGCCCTTGTGGCTGAACCGCCTGCCGGCGGGAGGCTTGGCCTTTGGGGCCAGACCGCCCAGCTGGCGAAACAGAAAGGGAGGAGGAGGAGGAGGAGGAGGAGGAGGAGGAGGAGGAGGAGGAGGAGGAGGAGGAGGAGGAGGAGGAGGAGGAGGAGGAGGAGGAGGAGGAGGAGGAGGAGGAGGAGGAGGAGGAGGAGGAGGAGGAGGAGGAGGAGGAGGAGGAGGAGGAGGAGGAGGAGGAGGAGGAGGAGGAGGAGGAGAGGAGGAGGAGGAGGAGGAGGAGGAGGAGGAGGAGGAGGAGGAGGAGGCGGAGGAGGAGGAGGAGGAGGAGGAGGAGTGCCCTCACATCCGCGCGTCGTGACAGACACATCCCAGCAAAGCACCGTGATAGGAGCAAAGGAGAAGGAGGATGAGGAGGGCCCTCACATCCGCGCGTCGTGACAGAAACATCCCAGCAAAGCACCGTGATAGGAGCAAAGGAGAAGGAGGAGGAGGAGGGCCCTCACATCAGCGCGTCGTGACAGAAACATCCCAGCAAATGTGACGTGGTGGTTCGAGGAGCGGCTACAGGGGACGGGAGTGAGCAGGGGAAAATGACGACGAGGTTTTTTTGTGTGTTTTCGGCCTCTGGCGGCCCTCGCCAGGCCCTTGGGATTGTCAAAGAAATAGCCGGGATGCAAAGCCGGCCCTTGGGAAGGGTGGGGATGTTGGTTACCCCGTCTTGAACGTCCCCGGGACGTGCCCAACCCCTTCTCCACGCGAGGCGAACCTCAGCATGAATTCTCCATACGAGAGAATACATCGCCAGACATGCACGATCTGCGCGGCCCTCATCTCCGCCGTGCCTCCCAGAAGCCGCGAGCTCTCGGCTGGAGCCGCGTGGCCCCCGACTGCGCTGGACCTCGTAGGAGCCCATGAGCACGGTGACAGTGGCGCAGGTCGCAGCAGCGGCGAGGCCTCAGATGGGCGCGCGCGGCCCCCGACTCCGCTTGCCCTCCCAGGAGCCCACGAAAATATTGACAGTTGCGCAGTTCGCAGCCACCCAGGGCGCAGCGAGGCCTCGTCGGGGCGCGCGTGGCCCTGGACTCCGCTGGACCTCCCAGGAGCCCACGAAAGCGGTGACGCTTGCGCAGTTCGCAGCCACCCAGGGAGCGGCAATGTCTTGTCTGGGTGCGCGTAGCCCCCGACTCCGCTGGACCTCTCAGGAGCCCACGAAAGTGGCGACGGTTGCGCAGTTCGCAGCCGCCTAGGGAGGCGCGAGGTATAGTCTGGGTTTGCGTGGCCCCCGTCTCCGCTGGACCTCCCATCAACCCACGAAAGTGGTGACAGTTGCGCAGTTCGCGGCTCCCTGGAAAGGCGCGAGGTATAATTAGTCTGGGTTTGCGTATGACGCCGCTCCGCTGGACCTCCCAGGAGCCTACAAACGTTGCGACAGCTTCGCAGTTCGCAGCCCCCCAGGGAGCCTCGAGGTCTAATCAGGGTGGCCAGAGAGGCCCCAAGAGTGCCGCAAGAGGCTCCGCGAGAGCTCCAACAGGCGCGAGGAGAAGTCCGACAGGGCGAAAATACTGAACGTTCTTTTTGACTTTTGAAGCTTTTTGGCTCCCTCGGGTACTCGGCTCAACATATTCGAAAAGGGCTTCGGAGGGTCCGAGGCGGCTCCAGGGGGCCCAGGGACGGGCCGAACGAGCCCAAGAGGGCCCCAGTAGGGATGACCCGAAGGGCGCCCAGAGGCGTCCAGAAGTCTCCCGTGCGAAGGTGTTCTTCGGTTGAGGGGAGAATGGCGGCCAGCATACATGTACACTTTCATGTTTGATTGACTGTGCGTACATATGTATATACATAGTTACGCATGCATGATTGATTGAACATGTATATCTACACATATGTATATACATATTCATGTTCGGTTGACAAAATGTATATGTATACATATGTTTGCCTTTGCGTGCATATATCTACATGTACCTGTGCATTTGTATATGTATATGTATGTGCATGCATATGTGTGTAGGTGTTCGTGCCTATGCATGTGCGTACATATAGTCACATGCGTATATGAGTTTATGATCGCATTTTGAGTGTTACTTGTATTTACACATGCATACACTTGTAAATATGTAGACATTTGTGATTGTATTTGCTTATGCATATGTACCTGCATAGGTATATGTATATGTATATGTATGTGTGTACATAGATATGACTATGTTTGTATACATGTATACCTGCATCCATATGCATATGCATCACACACGCGTAGGAACATGTACATGCACATGCACATTCATATGTATATGTACATGTCTGTGTACATGTCTATGTCTAAGTCTAGGTCTGTGTCTATGTGTGTGTGCATATGCGTATGTATAGGTATTCGTGCACCTGCTGCCCCATTGGTACGAGCGGTATATTTGCACACGCATGTGCATAGGCATATGCATATGTACAAGCATGCGTATATGTATATGTATTTGCACACGTATACGTATATGTATGCATGCGATCATGTATACATGTACACATGCTAGTGCACACGATTCCACATATACATATATATATATGTACATACATAAACTTGATGTATGCGTACACGTATGTATACGCATTTACATGCGTACATGCATGTTCACGTGTATGTATATATGCGTGCACGCATGTGTATGTATGCATGCATGAATGTATTGCATGTATGTATGTACATATGCATGTATACATACGTGCATGCATGTATGTATGTATGTCTGTATATGTGTGTTTGTGTATGTATGTTAGTATGCATGCATGCATGTACGTATGTATGCATGCATGTATGCATGCATGTGCATGTATGAATGTTTGCATGTACGTATGGATGCATGCATGTATGCATGCATGTATGTATGTATGTATGCAAGTATGCATGTATGTATGTATGCATGCATGCATGCATGTATGTATGTATGTATGCATGCATGCATGCATGCATGCATGCATGTATGTATGTGTGTACTTATGTATGTATGTATGTATGTATGTATGTATGTATGTATGTATGTATGTATGTATGTATGTATGTATGTATGTATGCATGTATGTATGTATGCATGTATGTATGTATGCATGTATGTATGCATGCATGCATGCATGCATGCACATGGATATACGCACATATCATTTGCAGCTATTGAGGCATACAGGGTAGATAGGTAGAACGTGTGCAGAACGTTCGAGCAAAAACCATGACGTCCACTCGGACCCTTGGCCCGCCATCGCCCTGCCTCCCCGCTGCGCGCGACCGAAGGACACCGGTCATCTGGCCCTCAGATGGGCTTCGGCCGAGCAGCGCGGCCGGCCCCCCCCACCCCCGCGGCTGGCCGGCGGTGCCGCCCCCGCTCCGCCGTCAGTGCCAGTATTTATGCTACTGTGACCCTGTCTGTGCCTCCGCTGCTGCTGTCGAGGGAGAAAACGGCATCACGCGACCGAGGGACCCCACATACGTCTGATGCAATCATCATGTTGCGGATGGGATAGGGGGGCCTCCCCTTGGGCACCTCCCCCGGTGTCGAGGAAATGCCACGCGTGCCTCGCTTTGAGAGCGTGTCACTCTGTCTCTGCCGTCGTTGTCGTTGCCGAGGGAGAGAAAATGGCTCATGCAAACATTTCGTAGGTCGGTGCGGATCTCTTGGATCTGTGCGAGGTCGCCCTGGCGGCGCCTCCGGCGCCGCGCCTGGCGCGGACCGCGCGGCAGGGGGGGGGGTCAGCGACGATCCACGAAATCCGCGCGGACCTCCGAAAGTTTACGGTCAGGACCTTTGCCTTAGAGTGTCGCTCTGCCGGTTTTTACCCACCGCGCCCTGGCGCGACGGACTATCCACGTCCTCATTCCCAAGTTTCCACGCCCCGAGCTGTTCCTCCGGGTGTCTGGCCCCGCGGAGCGGAGCGACACGGTACAGGCTCGAAGGGCACAGCAAGGCGCCGGGGCCGCCGTTGCGATGCGCTAAGCAAAAGTTCCCGACTGTATGCTTGTGCCGTGCTTCCTTCGTGTGTTCTCGCCTGCGCTAGCGGTGCAGCCGCTGCCGCCGTCGGCGCTGTAGCCACCAGGGCTCGTTCGGTGCGCGCCGCCGCTGTGTGTATGCACGTGTGCTTCGAAGGATCTTTCTGTCCTTCCTCCCTCCTCTTGCATGGTGGCTCAATTCGCTGAACGCCTGCCCTGTTTCGCTCCGTTCGCCAGCGCAGTGACTCTACCTAGCCGCCGGCGCAAAAAGTGCGCGCGTGTGTGAGCCCAAGGCCGTGAGGCCACTCCCCTTCGGTCCCCCCTCTTTGTTAATTCAAGCTTCGCGCGGCCCGCTTAGCTTCGACCGGAAGAGGTGCGCTCTCGACCCGCGAATCAAAGTGTGTGAGCCCAAGGGGCGTTTCTGGACTATCTGCGCCTCGATGCTGCGAGAAGGGCCGCGACGCCCAAAGTGTGTGCCCGAGGTGGGGGCGGGCGGGGGCGGCGCGTGCCTGAGCGAAGCGGGATCGGTCGGGTGCAGCCAGTGGCCAGTCGCTGTCCCGAGGTGGCCCTTGGCTCCAGGCGTCCCAGATTGGTTCCGAGCAGGTGGTGTCGGAGGATCGCCCCGCATCGACGATGCGCCGCGATGCGGCTCGATGTCGAGCCCCGTCAGCTCCACTTCGACTGCGCGGGTACATCGTCAATTCATTGGCGAGGCAGTGCGATCTTCCGACCCCATCGACTCGGACCCCATTTGGGAGGCCTGACATCTTCGCGTCTGGAGCCCTTGCCGGCCCAGGGCCGTCAGTAAATGGCTCGGGAGGACAAGCCGTCCCCGAGAAGGGACGTCGGACCTCTGGTGAGCCACGTTGTGAGGGAGTCACCACGTCGAGTGTCTGGGGCAGCATCGACCAATAGCACTTACGGGCGTGCATAGGAGGAGGAAGAGGAGGAGGAGGAGGAGGAGGAGGAGGAGGAGGAGGAGGTAGGGGGAGGGCGCAAAGTGGCGCTACTGCAATCGGCTTGCACGGTGCAACCAGTGCTGGCCATCAAATTCTAACAACTTGCAGAAACATGTGCGCGACGCTGCGAGGGTGACCGGCCCCCCCTCGGGGAGCTAGCGCCCCGCGCTTGTGACGAAGCGGGGAGTCTTCGGCAAAGCTCGGGCGGACGGCCACGAGGGGGCAACAAGTCTGCGAGGGGACCGAGGACTGCATGGCCGTGGCCCTACAGAGGCCCTGCATCGTCCTGGAACTGCCACCGCGGGCTAAGATGATGGGTCCATTTTCTCCCACCACTACCATAGGTATGAGAGGGAGTGGTAGTAGCAGTAGTAGTAGTAGTAGTAGTAGTAGTAGTAGTAGTAATATGACTTTTATTATTATCATTATTATTATTATTTGTAGTAGTAGTAGTAGTAGTAGTAGTAGTAGTAGTAGTAGTAGTAGTAGTAGTAGTGTAGTAGTAGTATTAGTAATAGTAGTAGTAGTAGTAGCAGTAACAATAGTAGTAGTAGTAGTAGTAGTAGTAGTAGTAGTAGTAGTAGTAGTAGTAGTAGTAGTAGTAGTAGTAGTAGTAGTAGTAGTAGTGGTATTTGTAGTAGTAGTAGTAGTAGTAGTAGTAGTAGTAGTAGTAGTAGTAGTAGTAGTAGTAGTAGTAGTAGTAGTAGTAGTAGTCGTAGTAGTCGTAGTAGTCGTAGTAGTCGCATAGTAGTAGTAGTAGTAGTAGTAGTAGTAGTAGTAGTAGTAGTAGTAGTAGCAGTAGTAGTAGTAGTATTAGTAGTAGTAGGCGTAGAGTAGTATGTAGAGTAGTAGTAGTAGTCTTAGTACAGTCGTAGTCGTAGTAGTCGTAGTTGTAGTCGTTAGTCGTATAGTCGTAAGTCGTAGGTCGTAGTCGTAGTCGTGTCGTAGTCGTTAGTCGTAGTCGTAGTAGTGGTAGTAGTAGTGGTGGTCGTGCTAGTGCTAGTGTAGTTGGTTAGTAGTAGTAGTAGTAGTAGGTAGTAGTAGTAGTAGTGGCCACTAGTAGTAGTAGTGTAGTAGTCAGTAGTATTAGTAGTAGTTAGTAGTGTAGTATTTCGTAACATAGTAGCAGTTATTTGTTTATAATTTGTTAGTAGCAGTAGCAGTAGTAGTAGTAGTAGTAGTAGTAGTAGTAGTAGTAGTAGCAGTAGTAGTAGTAGTAGTAGTAGTAGTAGTAGTAGTAGTCGTAGTAGTAGTAGTAGTAGTAGTCGTAGTACTCGTATTAGTATGAGTAGTCGTAGTAGTAGTAGTAGTAGTAGTAGTAGTAGTAGTAGTAGTACTCGTAGTGGTAGTAGTAGTAGAAGTAGTAGCAGCAGTAGCAGCAGTAGTCGTAGTAGTAGCAGTTGTAGTGTAGTAACACCAGTAGTAGCAGCAGTAGTAGTAGTAGTAGTAGTAGTAGCCGTATTTTACATATGAGTAGTATGGTGATTATCGTTATTATGTTATTTGTAGTAGCAGTGGTAGGCGTAGTAGGAGTAGTAGTAGTAGTGGTAGTAGTAGTAGTAGTAGTAGTAGTCGTAGTAGTAGTAGTAGTAGTAGTAGCATTCGTAGTAGCAGTAGTAGTAGTAGAAGTAGTAGTCGTAGTAGTAGTAGTAGTAGTAGTAGTAGCAGTAGCAGTACTCGTAGTAGTAGTAGTAGTAGTAGTAGTAGTAGTAGTAGTAGTCGCAGAAGTAGTAGTAGTCGTAGTCGTAGTAGTAGTAGTAGTAGTAGTAGTCGTAGTAGTAGTAGTAG